CAAATGACAACATGAGTCATTCCAGACATATGTCAATATAACAACATGTCCCTGTAAAACATTAACATTAGCTTACTGTCAATAAAGACGTGCCAAGAGTACTGGATTGAAACAAGACCACAACATGACTACTGGAAATACTCATTTTGAATTGGCTAACAAATGTCAGTTAAAATAAATGTTTAAGAATCTTTAAAAAGTTCCCATTTAAGCTCCTAATTGAGTCAAAGTTGAGTTTAAAAAAAATGTTTTCATAGTGATTTGGAGATTTAAAGAAATTATCTTTTTACTTACTACGGCAAATTAGACAATTGTGTGTTTAAAATTCCCTAGGACAAATGTCAAAGATAACACAGCAGACTTCTTGAATCTTCATACTAAGAGTCCAAAATTTGGACATTAATGCATTTAATGTATTTGATTAATTTTCTACAATTTAACTTTAACGGCTAAAATTCCTACTTGCAACGTTTTTTTCTTCCCTTTTTCGTTTCTCTTCAGAAATTCACCAGGGTGCAATGTTAAACTGCAGATTAAACAGTACTTGATACAGTTTTTGGCTGCAACAGCAAATTTACAATGACAATGATCTCTTTTTTCCAGGTGTTTAATCAACATGGTTTATATTAAATGACAAAATATGACAATGAGCGCTCAGGTTTCATGGGGACACTTTCTGGGAGTTTAGCCACAAATTAAATGTTTTTCTTTGCAAAACATTAAGTTATTGATTTTGACTTCTTGTTTGAAACGGGGCTGCACTGGTGGGTAAGACCACCAGTGGGAGTGGAACCACAATAAGCCAAACAAGCTTATCAGTGAGCACACATTCAAAGTATATTCAAAGCATAGGCCTATGCCTCTTTTGTCCCTGAATAGAAACATCTTAGTTATTATTTAAACATAATTGGTACACTCTTTTCATGATAAAATACATGTATCCCCCTTGAAATGCTGCATGGAGATGTGTGTTGATTTGTGTCACAAAAGAAAGAATGAGGAATATTTGGAGTCATATTAAAGGTCCCATGCCATGGCCATTTCTATTGATCATAATTCCATTGTTGAGGTCTACTAGAATAGATTTATATTGTGCAATTTTCCAAACTCACGTTGGTCTCTCATACAGCACAAGTATGTGTAATCACTCTCTGTCCTGAACGCCTTGTTGGAGCTCCTGCCCCCCCCTCCCTGTGAGCCCACTCTGCTCTGATTGGTCAGCTCGCCCACTCTTTTCTGATGAGTCCACCACCGTTACAGCGGAACATCAGTGATTATGTGTTACAATGGCGTTAGCAACCAGAAAATGATACCAGTAATGACAAACAGATGAGAATTCTGCGTGGGGTCTGGGTGCCGTGTTGGCGGGACGTTGCGGGGCTCGCTGCTGGAGCGGACAGTGTGAGCTGGCTTACTGGTGTTGTTTCCTGGTTGCTGCGGGAGATCTGCGAGACAGCGAGACACATCAATACCCAGCCTGAACCCAGCCCGAGCACACACACACCCACCTGCAGCCTGGCTGTGAGTCTGTGTGTGTTCTCAGAACGAGCCCAGGCCGAGCCCCACCGCGTCTCGCTTTCTCAGGCTGAGAAATGTGTGTGTGTGAGGAAGTCCGCGGATTGGTCCGTTATGTCACTATACCCAATACGTCACTGTACTTACTACACTATAAGAAGAAAACAATGGAAAAAGAAAAATCTCCAACGAGGCGTTCTGGGGCAGCATAGACAGGTATTTTCTGTGTTAGAGTCTTACTCGCTACAGGGTGTACTTTGAGGGTTTGTGACTCTGCAGACCGTTTACATGCATAAAAAGCAAAAGGGGATGGTTAATAACCGGAAGCGCATGACACGTGACCTTAAATATATTACAAAACGGATTTAGTAAATGTATAACATTTTAACAGAAAGTTAGAGGGAGATTGGCTTCAGAATATTCATCTGATTAAATAAAAGTGGAGGCAACGTAGGAAGTGATGCGTTGTCGTAGGTTGTTGTTGAAGAACAGCTTCAATAGGTAAGTAATTCCAAATGTAAGGGGGTGAGTACTTTAATTAACATCTCTTTAAACACTTGAATAATCAAAAACAAGAATAAGTATTCATGACTCTGAGGTAATGTTCTCTGTGTTGGGGGAATTTGAGGGTTTTAAGAAAGTCACAAGGTTTTTTTTGGAATTGTGGTTTGGCGACATAAATAAATAAACTGTTCGTGATATAATTCCCACAGTAGAAAACAATCTAGTCTTTGATATTGAGAAATCAAACGTACACATAGTACATCTGAATTGCCAGATCATTTTCTTGATATTCGTGGTATTGTCCAATTTATTTAGCTGATGGGGTTTAGGTGGGTCTGGGTTCAGTGGGGTTTTGGATCACATTAGGAATGATATGCTTTCTTCACTTCTGCTATTATAAAGTGAGTGATATGAATGAGTAAAGTAGGATATTTTGACATTTTAGACCGAGGAATGTTTAAAGTTCATATTGTTCAAAGCCAATTTACACTGATTGTGTCACTTCAATATTTTGTATGCTGCAAAGTAACAAGAAACACAAATGGATAATTTTTATAAATTAGAGGATATTCTTAAGGACTCTAGGCAAACTACTCTTTATTACATGAAAACAAACGCTAAAATAAAACTTAATAAGGCTTCATCTGTGGGCCACATGTTGACATTAGATGATAAATCGTGCCTTAACTACCTCTGTGTGACCTGGTTTTTATGTGGAAAAAAAAACACAGTCCCAGGATGGATATAAATGGTTGCTGACCTGAGAATGAACTGGCAGGCCCATGAACCCAAACAGTGCTGAACCGTTGCTGAACTGGCCTCTTTGTGAAGAAAAAAACAGAAGGAAAGAGTTTCTTTCTTCTCAAAGTGCCATGAAGACATGGACACTCTCTCCGAATATCGTGTCCAGGATGTTGAGACGTGGCTTCAGCTGTTTAACATCGATGCAATCAGACAATGATGCCAGGTCACATTGTCACTTTGGGCGTACTGAATCAGAATGCAAAGCAAAAGAGATGCAATTCAGAGTTATTCGTTTATTGCTGAATCATTGTTTTTGAAGAAACCGGAGGATATACTCCAGTAATCAACTTAAGTTTAAAGCCTGAAAAACAATGTTAGCGTATTTCACAAGAGGTCTGACGAGGAATTAAACTTAAAGAGCCTTGTTAGGGTCCCCCATGTATCAAGAGTCTGGAGTAATTTGACCGTAAATCTCCCTCAGAGGACAAAGTTTTGTTGTAATGCCACCAGGGTCCAACCTGTGGTCAGAGGCGGTAAGTCGACTGAGCTGAACGTAGATCCGCAGGAAAAACATGCAGCCAGGTTGACACTTTGTTTTCCACCACTAATGTATTTCTCAAGTTTTCAAATGAAGAAACTGATGTTACTCTTAATGTACTGTAAGCTAAGATTTATTTTTCTCTGCTTTGCATTCCATGTTTAATTTCCTTACAACTAGTTTGGAGTGGGTTAATTTGGTCTTGCAGTTATATTTTCTGATGGATGTGTAACTGAAGCCTATACAGGATTAAGGTTATCTGGTCAAAGAATGTTTTATCTTGTCGTACCGTTCCTTTGAGAAGAGCCTGATTTTTTCCAACACTGATCCCGATTATGGATGGGACAGAACAGACTCGCCATTGTGAGTCAACTAAGTCCTCCGCACTTCATTGTCTGGAGGTCAATCAGCTTTATAGCCCAATTAGTTTCTCATAGCTGTGGTCTAATCACCAAAAGGAACTAAGAAGGTGCACAATTCAAAAGAAGGCCGTTATTAAATTGACAACCATGAATGCTCACTGTACTTATACTTATGATGTATTTGCACTTCAGTGTTTGCACTAAACTACTCCATTAGATTTGTAGAGGGATATAGTAGCCTACTGCTAGGGGAACATTATGCATAATAAATATACTAGTGGTATGCATGACTTATCTTTTAATTAGAGTATTAGAACACAGGTGATTTCAGTTTGAATAACTTACATTTATCAATGAATCTTATTGATGCAATTGACCATTTGAATACTTAATAAATGTTATTTTCACACGATATTATTATTATTTTTATTTGCCCTTTGGTTGCACGTGCAGAAGGACCAATCTTGTCCTTGGGATATCCTCTGAACTTTCTCTCCTCCTCGCGACAGAAAGGATTAAAAGCTCGTTTCCCTAAAGCACTTGAGGGTACTTTCCCCCAAAACCGTCGCGATGCTGCAGCTGTTTACCTTTCTGTTGGAGAAGTTCTATCTTCTCTTTAACTTCAAACTGTTTGGGTCCAGCTGGTCGGACGGTGAGGACCGGAAAGGTCACACGCAGCGCACTCCCCCGCAACCCCTCCGGAGGGGAGACCTGCTGGAGATCCCCAGAACACTTTTCACCCACTTTGGCATTTATTTAGGGGACACCTAAATGTAATGTTGTGAATCGAGTGGCCCATGGTGGTGGTGGGGTTATGGTATTAGCAGGCGTATGTTATGGACGACGAACACAGGCCACTCGATTCACAATAATACCCTAACCCTAACCCTAACCCTAACCCTAACCCTCACACCAGATACTGACTGGTTTTCGGACCCCCCCAGACCCCCCCCAATAAAGCAAAAATGCACGTTTCAGAGTGGCCTTTTGTTGTGGCCAGCCTAAGGCACACCTGTGCAATAATCATGCTGTCTTATCAGCATCGAAACAATGGTTGCTATTTTTTGGTTGGGTTTCTCAATCTCAGTAACTTTCAAAATAAAGATCTAACTTGTTGCCAATTCAGCCTCCTTAATGAGGAACCCTGACCTTAATACAACAAGAACTGAGTTTCAAAATCCTACCACACAGCGAAGTGATTAGAGAAAGCTCCTTTATTTCTGTCCACATCTTACTGAGACATTGACCAATATCTAAATCCTATTAACCGCTCTAGCCCCTCCCAATTCCCTCTAAAATAAAAACGGGGTTCGAGCTCTTTACCACACACTGCCATCATGTTTCTTTACCAACTACTCAACATTTTCTACGTAGCTTCCCAAAAGGAGGAGGAATCTAAAAATGATTCGTCCCGTTACAAGCGTGGTGATTTACTGGAAGTCCCCAGGACATTATTTACACATTTTGGTATCTACTTGGGTGACAATCGTGTGGCTCATCTCATCCCGGATATCCTTCCTGTGTTTACCAAGAATACATCTGCAATTTCAACGATTGTATCAAATAACCGCTTGGTGTTGGGAGTCATCGCTAAGGTTGCCAGCGTCAGAGTGGACTCCTTGGCTGATTTTGCGTACGGTTCGGAGATCCTGGTCAACCACATGGACAAGGTGTGCAGCCAGCCTCCTTTGGACGGGGACGAGATAGTGAGAAGGGCAGAGAAACTCCTGGGCAAGGTCAACTACAGCCTACTGTGGTACAACTGTGAACACTACGTCATGTACTGCAGATACGGCATGTCCATCAGCTACCAGACATACCAGGTACAGTCTCTGGGCACCTGTCAGTAGAACGATTAAAAGATCAGATTTAACAATTATTTCCATATTAGCTGTAAAAACGATATGCCTTTCTAACGAAACCCACATTCCACAGGCTAGGAAAAATGCTTGATTTGAACCAAAGCCAATAAGAGGCTTTAACAGGAAAACTGTTTCTCATAAGTAGGTATTTTCCAGTTTCCAAGTTGTTTTCCTTTGACAAACCTTCTCCCCTGAGCTACAGTGGAAGGACATTAACATAGTTAGTAACTTTGTAAGACAGCCATTGTTTTCCCTCCAAGTCAGACTGCTGAATGTATTGTATTCAAAATCGATTTTTGAATAGGACCAGGACTGTAAAGTGTGTTTCCCCTCTTTTAAATTGGATCAGCATTAGCGAGGAATCTCCTTCCACCTGATATTATTGGAATATTCTACGAAGTATGGTTTACAAACTGTCTTCTACTAAATAGATGAGAAAACATTCTGACTATTTGTCATTGTTGAACAACTTCTTTCCATTATTCTTTTGAGAAATGATTTCGCTTCTTAACCTACCATCCAGTAATCTGACTTCTTTACAAGTATTACTGTGTTTGCACCGTGAGATTGTTGTATGAGAAAGGTCACATGCAAAAGCTAAAGGTTTAAAGTTAACTGCATGTGCATGTCAGTTGTTTTCCTGTGAAAAACAATATAAGCTGAAACACACTTACTAACATGAGGATATTTCAACAGCAGAGTTGTTTCCCTCTGTCCACTGAAGTAAAAATATACTTTACTTATTCACGAGGAGAGTAGCTCCATCTAGTGTTACTTTGTGCCTAAATGACATGTACTGCCAAGCTAATTTGAGATGTACTTAGCTTCAGATCACTAATTCTCACACTGTTTCTTGTAGTTCTGCACAGCAGTACGGAAGATTGTTTGCAGCAGGAAGAGCTCCTATCTGACTGCATTGTGTGGTGTAGCAGTCCCGCTGTATCTGGGCTGTGTGACGCTGCTCACGGTTTTACCCACGCTGCTCGTCTCCTTCACCATTTGGATGGCAGCCTGACGTTATCTGGTGAGACGGCCCTCATGAGAAAGACTAATGCAGCGCACTGGTGGGAGCTGAAATGAAGTCCTGCTGTTGAGCTGAAAAGACTTTGGGAAAAAAAAGTGTTAACTGTAATAGAAATGTCAGAATTCTACTTTTTACCTTATTTGTTGTATTTGTCTTTTCCTTGATAGTTTGCTGTCGTGACCGAACCTTTTGTGTTAGATGTCTAAATGTGTACATTATTCATCACTAATGTTCACCAGGCTCCGGTGTTCAGCATTTATCTTAATCAACAGTAGCAGCTCGTAGATTATAGTTTGACGTTGACTCATAATTCCGGAAGACTGAGATAAAAACCAACAGTAATCTGGAAAGGAAAGAGTGACCTATGGGAACATGATGGTGTCTGCAGATGGAAGAGTTGCTAGGAATGCTGTAATGAATGTTTTTAAATTGTGATACTAAACATATTTCATGCTCTCGCTAAAAGCTTTACTTGGACAAAGTGCAATATGTTTCTTCTTAATGTATTTTCAATATATTGCAATGATAAATGTCATATGTGTTGGTCTTTAGCATGTATTTCTACTTTCTCTGCTTTTCATGATTGTACAAATGTTTTTATATTATCTTCTCTGCTGCCATCAGTGTACATTTTATTCCTTTATATTTTTGTATTTCTCTGGTTTTATGTGTCTTACTGCAGTGTTGAAATGTATTAATCACAGCTCTAAGATGTTAAGCACTTTGTAGCCGCATGCTTTAAAAAGAAGTACTGGATAAATAAAGTTTATCTTTACTATTATTGCTACTAAAGTTCCTGGATTGTGCCCATTTACACACAGCAGTTTAAAAAAAATGAAAGCACAAGAGAACAGACTATACAACTGGATACAGGGCTGGGAAAAAAAATGCCATAAACAGTTAAATTACAGGTAAATATTTAGTTAATTACTGCGGAGAATAACTTTCTTTCGTCATGGCAACATTGGGAAACTTTCTTTTAGTATTTCCACTGAGATTTCAAAGCCAGCAAGCCAAATAGCCCTGTTTACAGATAACAGGAGATACTTAACGGTCAGCACAAATGTTTTATCATTTCTAGAAGATAAATTATTTCAAGAATAAGAGGATTAGTGTTGTAAATCAATAATCTTGCTGCTGTTAAAGGGATTACATTTCAAGTGACTGCCAACAGGACACACTAAGTGGCAATCAAGGAGTTTATATTTATAAAAAATAAATGAATGTTTATAAGAGTTTAATGGTCTGGGATCTGTGTGTGCCTTCAAAGCTATTAAGTTAATGTAAATCGATAAAACAGACATCAAACTGAACGGTTGAAAAATGTACGCTTGGCTAGATCCTTTATGATAGTTTAATTATTTAAAAAACTGAAATTGGTATGGGAAACCAAGTCCAATGTCATTTATATAAAAACTTTATTTCTATATTTCACATTTGGGTGATCAAATATTTAAAACGTACAGAAACACTTTGTGCAACAGTCCACTTTACACCTTCTTATCTCGCTCAATATACAAACATCTATGTAATTATCTCCAAATGAACTTAATGGAAAAAGATTGATATGATTGTTTCCCAAAGTTACAACATGTTGTAATCCAACAAAATACTCAGATTCATACTCATGCATATTTGTTGGTGTTTACACTTACTAAACAACATTTGAAAGTGAGGTAGTGAAATAGTGCAATAATAAGACTATAAGGAGCCTGTGACCTAAGATTTTCATCGTCATAACTACACTGTAGCTATGTTCGTATGACAAAATAAAAAGCTTGAACCTTGAAGGTCAAAAAAGTTTGTTCTCTGTCTTTCCGCACAGAAAAAAAGGCAAACTAATGTACTAGTTGGCTTCTCAATCAGCAATTTAACAACACTATGAATTACTTAATAATAAAAAATAAAGACTGGATGAAGCGCTATATAAGAACAGTCCATGAACCATAGGAATATAATGACAGAAATTCATAGCTTAATTTGAAAACCTAAATAAAAGCTAGATGGCATACGATATAGCCCTGTCTCCAAGATCACAAGCCAAATCATTCCAAAATCTTTAAAGACTCTGAGCGAGCGCACACCAACGTTTTGTGAGCAGGCATATGGAGAACAGAGACGTGGGGTGTCAGATCCACGGAGGAGATACTGCAAACTGGTTTGTAATGAAGGAATTCAAAATCACTCTTCTCTCTGCTGACTAACGAGGCTCTGCGAGAAGTCATGCTGCTCCACCAGATGCATCTCTAAAGGCACACTCGGGTGCAAACTGTAGACTATTTTTATATCATCCTAGCTGTGATAGATAGTGCAAGACTTTGCTAATGTTTCAAGATAAAGGAAATGCGCCCAACGGCAAAAATCATCCTTGATCACAGGAAGTACATCATTCCCCCCCCATACACGATCACCTGTAATTACCCGAATTAAGTTTGATTGAAGTTTCACACTTCAGTAACTAAGCCGTATCCATGTCAACCTAAAATATAGGTGAGATTATTATTGTGTGCTACTATTCTTACCTATTCACATGCATTTGGTTTTTAACAAGTTCTCAACCTAAACTCAGATTAATCAAATGAACATCAGCACTTTTTCTGTCAAACTTTGTATGTACACACAGCTGTTGGAACTTCAGGATAGTAAGTTGTATAAAGTCAGTGATGTCAAACAGCACAGGTAAAAGACCAGTGCTAATGATGGATAATTGATTTTCCATTACACTTAGGCACATATCCTGCTGAGAAGCACTATGTATTGATTCAAGAGAGGCCGATGTAATGGGCTCAAGCCCCCGAGTTCTATTAAGCGGTGTGCAGGTGCAGAGTCCCCGCTGAGATTGAAGAGTAACCGAGTTTTGTCTCCTCTAACATTGACAGCTTTCAGCTTTTAGCCTGGATTCACTGAGGGAAATCTGATTTTCATATCTTTATTCCGACATGGTGTCAAGGGCCTCGTTAATTTAGCTTCCAATAAATACATCAAACATGGATCACATGGCTTCTTTAGAGATCAACTTTCTGTAAAAATAGAGAAGGATGCATCTATATTGAGAGCACAAATGCAGTCTGCCTCTAGGAGGAGAAGTAAGACTTGCTCGAAGCATAAACATGGCTACGGTCCATCCATTCATACAGCAAGGGGCCATTACAGGGCACTGAAGCCACTAATGCACTCTTAACCATGATAATTATTGTTGTTATTAAAATATATTGCTTTGGGTTTGCTAGTTAAGCTGAAGTAAATTTTGAATTCATTATTTTCAACAGTTTTTTCACCCATGACACAGCCTTGCGGGATATTACAGACCAAACATTTAAACTGTGAAATGGTTTCCACACCACTGAAAGCCTACACTGAAAAAACTCAAACGTTGACGTTATGTCAAAAGATTTCACATAACTGTATTAGATTAGTTAAAAGCAATAATATTAACTTTAAATACAAAATATTAGGTTCAACTTAACATTACTGCTTTCAACTTAACTAATAAAGTTGCGTGAAATTTGTTGACATAATACATTTAATTAAAGCCAACGTTTCAGTTTGTTCAGTGTACACTGAAAAAGAATAGCAATAATATTAAAGTGCACCTATCATTGCTATTTTTAGGCATATGGGTCTCAGATGTCAAACATGTCTATGATGTGTTTTTCTCAAAATACAAACAGATCATGCATTTTAGATTTTTAGACTTATATCCCTCTATTCCAGCCCTGTTCGAGAAATGCGTGACTCCACCACGACTCCTTAACACCGCATTTCGTGGTGGAGTCACGAACTTTGCTACATTTACGTGTCTGCACCACGCAAACAACCCCAATGTAAAGTAAATTTGATACTATCGACCATGATATCCTATTGCAAAGACTAGAGCACTTAGTTGGCATACAGGGAACTGCTTTAGGCTGGTTTAGGTCCTATCTATCTGAACGCTCTCAGTTTGTACGTGTCAACGATGAATCTTCCATGCAAACCAAAGTTAGCCATGGAGTGCCACAGGGCTCAGTGCTTGGACCTATTTTGTTCACACTATATATGCTTCCGTTAGGCAATATTATAAGGAATCATTCTGTAAACTTTCATTGTTATGCGGATGATACTCAACTATATTTATCAATCAAGCCTGATGAAATTAATCATCTAAATAAAATTCAAGACTGCCTCAAGGACTTAAAAACGTGGATGACCTTAAATTTTTTGATGTTAAACACGACAAAAACTGAAGTTATTGTACTTGGCCCGAAGAATCTACGAAACAAATTATTTAAAGATATATTAACTATGGATGGCATTAATTTGGCCTCCAGTGAGACTGTAAGGAATCTTGGTGTTATATTTGATCAGGATTTATCCTTTAACACCCACATAAAATCAATTTCAAGGACCGCCTACTTCCATCTACGTAACATTGCAAAAATCAGGCATATCTTGCCTCAAAACGATGCAGAGAAACTAGTCCATGCATTTGTTACTTCAAGGCTGGATTATTGTAACTCCTTATTATCAGGGTGTACAAGAAGTCAGTCAAGTCGCTTCAGTGATTCAAAATGCTGCAGCTCGTGTACTAACCAGAGTTAGGAAAAGGGACCACATTACTCCTGTTCTGGCTGCCTTACACTGGCTCCCTATAGAACACAGGATAGAATTTAAAATTCTTCTTCTCGCCTACAAAGCCCTTAATGGGCAGGCGCCATCTTACCTTAAAGAACTCATTATACCCTATTGCCCTACTAGGGCATTGCGTTCCAAGAATGCAGGGTTGTTGGTTGTTCCTAGAGTCTCTAAAAGTACAATGGGAGCCAGAGCCTTTTCTTATCAAGCTCCACTTTTGTGGAATCAGCTTCCAGTTTGTGTTCGGGCGGCAGACACCCTATCCGTTTTTAAGAGTGCGCTTAAGACCTTCCTTTTTGATAAAGCTTATAGTTAGGGCTGATTAGATTCAGCGCCTAGTTTTGCTGATATAGGCTTAGTTTGTCGGGGGACATCTTACTTCTTCCTTCTCTCTGTCTATACCTGTGTACTCTCATGTTCCGATTAACCCAGCTTCCCCAAATTTCTTTCTTTTTGGTGTCTATATACGCCGGGATCCGGAGTCATGGATGATCCTGCGGTCCTGTGTCATGGATTGCGAGTCCTGGATCTTGAGCCGTGGCTGTGGTCCTGGATCATAAGTCCTGGATGGATATACTCGTGGATTCATCTTCCTATTATACACACATGCATTTCCAAACATTTGGACTACCTATGTTGCAAATGTATTATCTTTTCAATTTACACACGGCATCTATTGCACGTCTGTCCGTCCTGGGAGAGGGATCCCTCCTCTGTTGCTCTCCCTGAGGTTTCTCCCATTTTTCCCTTTAAACTGTGGGTTTTCTCTGGAAGTTTTTCCTTGTACGATGTGAGGGTCTAAGGACAGAGGGTCTAAGGACGATGTGAGGGTCTAAGGACAGAGGGTGTCGTATTGTCATACTGATATTCTGTACAAACTGTGAAGTCCACTGAGACAAATGTAACATTTGTGATATTGGGCTATATAAATAAACATTGATTGATTGATTGATAAATTAGGCTCCTTTGTCGTGGTGCACACACGCATTTCTACAACGTCCAGCAGTGAGCTTTTATTATATAAAACGTTTTTAAAATCTACTTTATAGCTTGTAGTAACTCACGGGAGGCTTCTTTTATTTTATTTGTATTCATAATAAAAAAAATGTCTTTCGTTAGAATGTATTATGGCAACCCTGTCTCCTAAAAATTACGTTCCCACAGAACTAAACTGCATTCTCAATTACGTTTAGCTAGAAACGTATTTTCTCCCACGTTACGTTCGTTATGAGGCTTTAATTTCACCAGCTGTTACTCTCATGAGCGAGGCAGAAAATAATAGTTTTAACATGCCAAAAAGCAGCTGTGTCGTTTATTGCACCTCTAACATTAAAAAAAATCCAGAGTTACGTGTTCCTGTTCTTCCTCTAAGAAGAAAGGACAGTAACAGAAGATCTCTGTGACGCCAGATGTTTAAAAAAAAATGCGATGCGGTGTTCAGGAGTCGAGGTGGAGTCACGCATTCTGGTGAGATCAGGTTGATTATTTAGTGTGCTGCTTCCAGTCTCAATTTACTAATATAGAGGATTTTACTTCTGAAGTTCTGTTGTGTCATCTTTTGATCTTTTGACTTGTTATTGGTCACTTGGTATGACCTTGGTCTGCAGTCATATTAAGTCAGGCCAGACTCTCGTTTCCATTGGTTGCTGGCACTTAAGCTAAGATATATTTTCAACAGTTTTTATCGTGTGATTTTTCTTTCTTATGAATGGAAATGATGGTCAAATTCGTGTTACTTTTGCGTGAAGGATTGCTCTCTAGAGGCACACCCAGGTTAATAACTGAGAGATGAACACAGATGAACTATGTAAAATAGCTTTATCCGTCTTCATTTGGCACTGACAGGCGGACACACGCTATTAAACCGTTTCCCCCGGAGCAGAATAAAGTGCATTTAAACAACATATTGTGCGGCAAAGAGACATCATCTCTCGGGTTGAGGTTGTTGGTCAGGGCAGGACGAGTTTCCTCTCTGTGACTCGACCCGCCTCATCTGTCTGTCTCTCAGTCTTGCATTGCATGTAATGCGCACACAATGCCCGAGGGCTGCAGTGCGCACTGGCACATTTTGCGCACTTTGCTGTTCAGCGCGTTGTTCCTCCTTGAAGAAGAATAACAATCGTTCGTTGTTTGAGTGCTTCATTTTTTTTTTTTTTTCGGATTCCACAAGACCGAGAAGAAGCATGCCAAAAGCTTTCACTCAACTTAACTGGATGCAGAAACAATGAGAGTAATCTGAAGATCTTAATCAGAGAGATAAAGGTGAGTTAAACCCTTGGTGATATTGCATTTGATCTTTCGATCTGGACAATTTTGTAATTTCTTTATAAATAATCACAAACTGTCACGAAACTCAGTGCCAAGGGAATTTTGACTTAACAAGCCACTTTATTTGCGTAATGGAATACATAACACACCAGTGGAATAACAAGGCAACAGTCCATAGCACGAGTAGGTTAATTTGGTTAATAGATACTAATTTTAGATGTCCAGTCCAGCAGCAGGTTTTCAACTATCTTCACTTGTATACGATACATAAAATAGATATATTTAAAAAATATTCACAGCATAATTTTGTATTCAAGGAGAATACTGTTATGTATACTATATGGTTAATCTTTTTATTGGAAATCTCTTATTACAACAATGGGTATCAGCCCTATGATATTAGAAGTCAATCGATGCAAAGCCTGCAAACACACATATATGAAATCATCAGATATCACTTTGTAGTGTCAGGAGTGACTGACAGAATAAGCTTATGAATGTTAAATTGTTATTTGTATTATGGATCAATGTGCCCTTATTACAGCAATTCGTGTGACATGTGTTGTATTCCTTTGTCTGTAAAACAGCTCCAGGATGCACTTAATGAGACTTGTTCAATTAACAAATAAAAAATGTGCTGTCCTACATTAGGGATGTGGAATGTGTTAAATAGTGCTAAAAACATAAATAATATTGTATTACACCCATTTCATCTCATCTCTGAAAAAATAGTGGAATGCACAGTGGCTCGTGGTTTCCAATTTGGGGCTTTTTGTATTTTTGTTCATCAAGACTTATCAAGCTAATTACATTTACAGTCATCAAGATTTCCTTTAATTTTTTCTAATTTCTTTTGCACTGCTCAGGAGTAGACCTCCTAGTTTTAGCTGTACAACGACAATAACACTTTATTTTCATTTATTCTTTCCTATTCATCTGTTCTTCTGTTCGTCTTACAAGATGTATTCACATGGGATTTTACCATCATAAATCATAGTTGATCTTCCTCTGTAATGCAGGTTGGATATTTACTTGGCATCTGTGCCCTCTTAATTAGAACTAATTTTAAAATCTAGAAATAATGCAAATAATACAGTCACAGTGCCTTTGTGGTTTGTTGGAAGAATACATAATTATTTACATCATTATTACATTTATTATTTATAAATGTATGCCAAAAGAAAATAACCATCTCTTTTTTTCTTCATGTTCTTATTGTTTTTGAAGAAATCTTGAAGATATTTTGCCAGATTGTTGCCTGTAAACAAATGTTCTTTGTCACAACATGTACGCCCATCGCTTAAAGTGATCTCTATTTTCACAGAGTGACTTATGGGGACTGGTTGCCATGGATACAGCGTATCAGTTCAACACAACTCAAGTGGAAGAATCACAACTTACATCTTACAACTGCTGCTCAAATACCAGCGCAATAAATGATGAGAACATTTTGCAGCTGGACGACAGCACACAGCTGGTTGGGGTTCAAGTTGTTCTCATCCTGGCATACAGCATAATCATAGTATTTGGAGTAATTGGAAACTCTTTAGTGATATATGTTGTCTATATGTTTAAAAATCTACAGACTGTTACCAATTTCTTTATTGTGAACTTAGCTGTGGCAGACTTGCTGGTGAACACGCTGTGTTTGCCTTTCACCCTCGTCAATACTCTGTATGGCGAGTGGAAGTTTGGTCAGGTGTTGTGCTTCATGCTGCCGTGTGCTCAAGGCCTGGCCGTGCACGTGTCCACCATCACTATGAACGTCATTGCCCTGGACCGCCACAGGAGCATCGTCCACCACACGGAGACCAAGATGTCCAAAGACATGTGCGCTCTGGTCATTGCCATCTCGTGGGCCGTCAGCGCCCTGTTGGCCAGCCCGCTCGCCATCTTCAGGGAGTACGGGACGTTCGATCTTTCGCCGGACGAGTCTATTCAAGTGTGCACAGAGAAGTGGCCAGGAAGCAGCATGAACGGGAGCATCTACACCATAGCAGAACTTCTGATTCAATACGGTTTACCTCTGGCCATCAACTGTGTTGCCTACATCCGTATCTGGAATAAGCTGACTTATGTTGGTAGAAATATTCGTCATCAGCGCACAAAGAAGACCACGAAGATGCTGCTGACCATGGTGGTGGTCTTCGCCGTCAGCTGGTTGCCTTTCCATGCCTTCCAGTTGGCGGTCGACATCGACAGCACTGTGTTGTATATGAAGGACTTTAAGCTGCTTTTCACTGTTTTCCATATCATGGCAATGTGCTCAACGTGTGTCAATCCCATCCTGTACGGTTGGATGAACAACAACTACAGGGCGGCCTTTTTCTCGGTGTGCAAGTGTTTCCATCCCTTCAATTCAAGGTCGAGACGCTCCGAAGGCAAACAGACAAACAAAAATGAAGACAGGGTCTATACAGATTGCAAATCCACAAATCTCTAAGTAACACAGTATAAACCGCCTAAGGGTCTTCATTGACAATTATTGCTGGAAATGTGAAAATGAAACCTGAGAATTTTGAATGAAGCTTGAGAATTTGTATTGAAAGGTTAAATATATTAAATGAAACTTAAGAATATTGCTTGAATTATAAAAAATATCCAGTTTTGTTAAATGATTAAGAGAGTCCATTTATATTGGGACCCTTGAAGCTTGAACCAGGACCTATCAACTGCAACCTACGATATTAACTTTCACAAAAATTATAAAACCTCAGTATATTTCCTTCTTATGTCATCATCAGCGTACATCTCTACATAAGGTCTTGCTCAGTAGAAAATGTGATAAGTAGTTCAGCTGCCCTAAAGTACTTGAATATGTCATTATGATATTGTTGCCACCAGTGGTATCATTTAACTTCCTGACAGCAGGAAGTATACATTTCATTAGAAAACATATCTAGATTTTAGTTGTTGGGATGTATACATAACAACAAGAATGCAGTTCTATGTTTTCATACTCACTTTGTTGCTGCTTTAAAAAACAACTTGCTGGAAAACTGAGTATGAATGGAGCTTTTGTAGATACATTGAAATATTTACGTGTATACAATGCTGAAGAAACCTGATTGCCTAATGGAATGCCATGTAAGTAAAATGTTCAACTGTTCACAATCTGAAAAAACTGCATCTATCTAAAAAAGATACATCAAATCCCTAATTTCAATGATTAAGCCAAGGAGTAAGAAGATCAACATATTGTATTCAGTCATACATAGAGCTATATGGAAATGCCATTATGTCCCATTGTGTCAGCCTAGTTTGACAGAATTATGATAATATATTGTCAGCTGTCAGCAGTCAAGCAATGTTCAGAAGTGTTTGGTGATAAATTACAGTATACTGCAATTGATTTACTGACAAATAAATGGACAAATACATATCTAATACATGTGAATTTGTGGGCACATGTGAAATGGTGAAAGGAGCATGTGAAGCTCATTCTGTATCGCTAATAATCTACGTTTGACTTCGTTTCAGCCTCGCTGTTTATCGGGGTCTTTGTTATGGGGTCTGAGCTACAGTCGCAAAGGAATGCAGAGGTTTGCATTATGGGTTGTGCAGGAAACTGAAATAGGTTTTCTCATTAGAGAGAAGAGGGGAGTTCCTTCTCCATCCCCAACTTGTCATTGTTTGCAGCAAGCATCGTAATTACCACTATTTGCTTAGGTAGTAATTACACCGGTGCTCAGCTTTTGAAGAGCCCTTCCTGTTGACCAGGTCTTTACTGATTTACTTTGTGCGTACGTGAGGAGCCCAGGGACCGAGGTATTAGCTCTGCATGTACCATTTTTAGTCAGCTATTCATGGTGTATTCAACATGTAATCAATAATTGTTTATTTGACCGTCTGCTGTTATTGAGCAGCTGCTGCTGTCACAACATTGGCGCTCAGGAGGAAGACAATGAATCAAGTTAAATGAACAATAGCTTTAAAACAAATTCAATTTATTCTCGTTAGCTGAGGATCTTGTCTTGTGGCTTTCAAAAGAGAAAGCACTTAAGCAACTATTTATGTCTGTCATGCCTTGGCTTTCCACCCATATGTATTTTTATTTGATTAATGGCCAGAGTATTGATTTTGTACATGAAGTGGATTTCTATTGTTAAATAATGAAGTGGAGCTGGTGAAGAAGAGAGCTAGTGTGACAGCATATTCATCAGAGAAGGCTCACTTAAAGCACATTGGTTAATGGTTGCTACTGTTATTGTTAGGAATGTTGGTAATGCATAATATCTATAAGGGTACATACGTCTGGAAAATGTAGGTAGTTCGAAGATGCACATGTTTAAAGTTTATGTATTGAATCATTTTAACTTTGTGACTGTCATTGTAAAATGTATGTTTTTGGATTGCTGGACGGATCAAATAAGTCACTATAAAGCTGTATTTTTGAAAATAAGAATGATGAAAGATAACAAGCAACAGTTACCTACCTACACACACAGCAGACATAGAGTATTACAAATTATTTCAAGTAGATTTTTTAAAACCTGAATAATGTTAGGTCAATTTTTTGGTTGTGTTGCAGCTGTGGTTTGGGTCCAGCAACAAACCAAATACCTCTGTCTTTAACTTAAACTCTTTACCACTACATCAGACTGGTGAAGCAGGTAGTACACACTACAGTGGGTTTGTCACCACTTACTTAATGGAAAAAGCCATCTGTGTCATATAATTTAGCTGTTGAGAATCAAAGATACATTGCATGAACCAGGAAACTAAAGATAGAGAAAAAAAAAGAGGATAATCCTCTGTGTGAGGCGCACAAGAGAGACCTTTCAAAACAGACTATTTTAAGACATAACTTTGGGCCCTAGTAATTTGTGATATATTTTATAAAATAAAACTCACTGAAATGACTTAATCTATAACTAAAACAATACTTATGTGCAGCCCTATAGTGTGTTCAGGAGCAGAAACAGTTAGACATACTATATCCTTGGTACTTTGTTGACTGCTAAATAATAATGATACTTGAGCTCCCCCCGCTGTCTCAACATGGTCTTACCCCAGCACGAGCCACATCTCTCAACACACAGTATGAGCAGGAAACTGAATAAGCCAAATGAATATGCTGTTTAGCCTTAAAAATATTATTAAACAATAAACTTGTATTTGTGTATACATCCTACTACAGTCCAGCACTGTAATTGGAGAGATCATCGGCTTGGTGTGCTTCGGCATAAACACCCTAGTGTAACTGTCTGTAGCAGAGGCAGGAATATTCTCACAAATGACATATGAATCTCAACTTCCTTCCTCACTTCAATGAAATATCTTCTCTTAAAAAGGTAATCAAGCCAAAATGTAATTCAAGAATGAACAAATCACTTCACTGCAAAATTCACGTTTGAGTTTACGCTGTTGAAGCAAGTCAAACAGAAGGAATGTAGGAATCTATATCTCCACTGTTGTTGCTAATGTGGAGCTGTATAACATCACCTTATATTCCCTTTGTGTCTGTTTCTTGTTCCTAACAAGTTCCCTGACATTTCTTAAGGACCTTTGGGACATCATCATCTGCCAATTTGCCTTACAGCAATGCTCAAAGTAATCAGGAAGCTGCATGTCACAGGGTGGCTGCTGGCCAGAACTAATATTTCCTTAAAAAAAAAAAAATGACGATGATGAAGAACAGGGTTCACAGATTAATCACAAATACCAGATGTTTCCAGAGGTGCTCCCTCTCTGTTTATATTGTTGCATTTCCGAAGTAGTAGTAGTAATAATAAATGGCTGGATTTTATTAAAGGAAACTACAAATGTATTTTTAATAGGTTTTCTTCTGGACTGATACCAATAAGCCAGGTTAAATGACTCTATGTCTGGTTTGTTGTGCCACTGAATGCAGTTTCTTTTTACAAACTGTACTGTAACAAATGCAACAGTTCCCATCCTGAAGCACATCCTGGAAAAAGCCTGTCACAGGGAATGATTACTGTGTGTGTGTCTTGCATACTCTAGCATACACTATTTTGTAATGATTCACAATTAAGGAACATTTCCGTGACTATTTTATACCATCATTGATAGGGGCCAAAATGTATCAACAACTGCTTTAGTGGAAATCTCCATTCAATCGACCCGAGTAGAAGCAAGCCTTACGTGTTGTAGTCTGTTGAAGGCCACCTTCTGTCTTTGTCGTGGCGTAAAAACGTTGGTCTCATTTTGAAATGGAGCATCTGCAAAACAATTCCATTCCAGAAATGTCATGATCTACTTTAGTTTAAATCCCAGTTTTCATTATCTTCACCTCCATTTTGACTGTAGGGGAGTCTGGGAGCAAGACAGACACACCTGGTGGGGATCAACTCTAATGATGGCACTTTTTTAGTTCAGTGGTTTAGTGTCCTTCAGACAGTCATGAGTCAGTTCATTACTTAGTTCTAAAAATATCTGAATACATTAATTAATAATACGTTGACATGCCAGGTTGGAGTTGGTTACTGCTAGATCGTATACCTCCTGGGTTTTAGGCAGAAGTGACGTAACCTGCCAACACAAAAATACCATAAATATAATATTTTGAGAATTCATAACTTTGGAGGACAGCAGGCTATTACTAATATTTAATAATACAAAAAAATGACATCTCACACGAAGAAAAGCACAGATGGGATTTAACACTCAGAAAGTCACTGAGTGAGTTTGATTTCGGATTACAGTGACACACACAGTACAAGGTTTATTTAAAAAAGGTGTGCTCCCTCTCACTCCGGTTCACTGTCCTCCGGATTCCTGCAAGACTCCAGAGTCGCGAAGAGCCCATGCAAAATTAAATTAAATGTGTCTAATTTTATTACCAGATGTGCTGTCAGTTGCTGCAAAAGTTTCCGACTTTTCGCTTCTCATCCACGATTACGTCACTTCCGCCGCCTGAAACCCAGGAGGTATACGATCTAGCACTAATCGGTTGGAGTTGAAGCATTAAAGTACTGCACACCCACAAAGGTGTTTTCAGTTGTTATGGCAAATTATACCTGAGAATGCACACAGCTCTGCTTGGATCAACGTGAGGTCACCACACAATTTAGGGTCAGGGATGTCAATCAAAAATGGTACACTCCCACAGCGTCCTCAAAAACAGTTCAACTCTAAACCAACCACATAAAGGCATTCCCCCTGTGTGGTTTTAAATCATATCTGCAGAAGGTAACTGACTTAGCTTTTTGTGTTGATTAGACTGTCTTTTTGTGTTTGAAAGCACTATCAAAAACATAATCTTTTATCCAAAATATATGATTAAACTCTTCCCCCGCAAACCTCAAACGTTTTAAAAAACATGAATAGTTACATAGACAGCAGCTGTGGTCGCCTTAAGTTAATTTTTAATTTCAAGTGATTCTAAAAGAAAAATGTTAACAGCTGACATCAACATTGGCTCCGTGTACTCAAGTGTCCCTGAAACTCTAACACAGTTTGTTTTCTGTTCTCTTTAAA